TTGGGTTCTGTGTCTCCCTCTCTCTCTCTGCCCCTCCCTCACTTGGTCTCTCTCTCTCTCTCTAAAAAATAAATATTTAGGGGCGCCTGGGTGGCTTAGTCGGTTAAGCGTCTGACTTTCGCTTAGGTCATGATCTCGCGGTTCGTGGGTTCGAGCCCCGCGTCGGGCTCTGTGCTGACTGCCAGCTCAGAGCCTGGAGCCTGCTTCAGTCTGTGACTCCCTCTCTCTCTGACCCTCCCCTGCTCACGCTGTCTCTCTCTCTCTCTCCTAGAAGCGTCGGGCTCTGTGCTGACTGCCAGCTCAGAGCCTGGAGCCTGCTTCAGTCTGTGACTCCCTCTCTCTCTGACCCTCCCCTGCTCACGCTGTCTCTCTCTCTCTCTCCTAGAAATAAATAAAAACATTTAAAAAAATAAATAAATAAATATTTTAAAAAAGAAAGAAAGAAGGAAGGAAGATCAAGGGAGAGAAGCTGTTGCGTCAAATTCGGCTGCATCCCAGTGGGGTCAGACACCAGGGCCCATCTAGAAGGGTGGACACGCGCAGGGAACCTACCCGAGGACGAGGACAGCCCCGAGGCATACAATGCTCTCACTTTTTAATTCTGCTGATCTCATTCCAGATTTGCCTTCTCACCTTTCTAGATGGGACTCTTGAGCCACTGCCACAAAGCACGTCTGTCAGTCTTCCTGAACGTCTCCGCAGAAGCAGGTTGGGACAAGGCTCTTCCCTGCCCACAACTTCTGTTGCAATGAATGGCTTGCCGATGTGACACCGCCCAGGCAAGATCTGGATCCGGGGCCAGGATCAAAATGAAAGAAAAGGCGCTGGATCTCAGAAGGGTTAATTTTACATGTCAACTTGACCATGGCATCACACGCCCAGATGTCCGGCGGCACAGTAAGGCGAATTCACTCCGCCTGACTGTTCTAGAGCCGGGACATCTCTTCTCTCATCTCCAGACTTGGACTCAAATGGAAACGTATAGCATCAGCTCTCTTGGTTCTCAGGCCTTTGACTCAGACTAGAAATACACCATTGACTCCCCTGGGTTTCCAGCTTGTCACGTGTGGATCCTGGGACTTCTCAACCTCCACAGCCACATGATTGATCGATTGATCGACTGATCGATTTCTCTGTCCCCTGTTGATTCTGTTGCTCTGGTGAACCCAGAACAGTGGAAATGATCTCTGTCCATAGCCCTTCACCTACAAAAATGATACAAATATTACGAATGTCATAAATTCAGAGAAAAGGTGTTCCCTGTGCTTTCTTAAATTTGCTAAATCAGCAGAAGGACATCAGGGAAAACAAGGTAATGACTTTCAGTAGAACTTAAGTTTGGCTGAAGGGATAGAGGTGAGGACCACTTTGGAGGGGGCAGGAATCGGCGTTGTCTAGGCACGTGGACGCACCCGCCTGCTCCGTGTCTTCCTCGTGCGTTCTTCCTCATCTCCGACAATCCGACCTTCACCCCAACACTCCACTCTCAGACCTTTCCCCTTCGTCACCTCTGGTCTCCAAACTCCAGCCCTTCCCAGTGTGCTAACGATGTACATCTGCAGCCTTGAGCCTTCGAAAACAATCGAATCATAGACAGTCCGATTCCACCCAGTGCCTTCAGTTCACAGATTATAAAATTGAAGATCTTAGAAACCCAGGGGTGTGTCCAGGGACGTGTATCTGCTAGTATTTGGCAGAATTGAGACTAGAAGCCAGATTTCCCCAATAGCACTCTCCTGGATAACCTGCTTTCTCCCTGGTCTACACTCTTCTAAGCTACACACTATCTTCAACTAGATAGGCTCTGCTCAACTCACTACAAATCCTCAACATAGAGCAGCCACCTGTGAAAACGTCGAGTCTTAGATGGAAAGCGAGGGGCAAGTATTTGTCACGTAAGGGTTAGCACCCTTAATTTGTAAAAGAGCATCCGGTTCATGCAACACCGTTATTGAGCACTCATCAGGCGCACTGTGCTGGACATTGAGAACACAGTGCTGAACAGGAATAGCACGGTTTCTCTGTGCGTGGGGTTCACTGTCTAGTGGGCAGAAACAATCTCCTCTGAAATTGCTATTGTGCGGCTTCCAGGCCCCTGCATAGCAGGGCGGCCCTGGGCCTGGAACATTCCCTTAGGAGGACATGCAGCGTGTAGCTCTCAGGTCTGGAATATCTTTCCCTGCCCCACATTTCAGCAGACGGAGTTCTTTGTTCTGGTTCAGCGTGGTCAAAGGCCCTCGGGCGTGACTTCAGCTTTCTGTATTTCAGACCCCGTGGGCGAGGGCACCGGGTCCTTGGCCTGCAGGGCAAAGGGGGTGCCATCCAGGGACCCCACGAGTGACTCTTGATTTCACCTCATGCCATGATCTCTAGGTTTGTGAGTTTGAGCCCCAGCATTGAGCTCTGGGCTGACAGTGTGGAGCCTGCTTGGGATTCTCTCTCTCTCTCTCTCTCTCTCTCTCGTTCTGTCTGCTCCTCCCCTACTCTCTGCCCCTCCTCTACTCTCCCTTGCTCTCTCTCTTTCTCTCAAGGTAAATAAATAAACTTTTAAAAAGAGGCTTCTGTGAATAGAACGAGAGCCACAGGTATGGATGAGATTACCAAGAAAGGGGGTACAGGGTGAGGAAGAAAGAGGGCCCGGGACAGAGTCTTGGGAACCTCCTGGGAGAGGAGCACAAACCAGCAAAAAGCACCTAGAGAGCATCTGGGGAGGTGGGAAGAAAGCTATGGGAAGTCGCCTCCCAGAAGCTTCAAGAAGGAATGCTTCTACCACACCTTCTCCAATACAGAGCACCACTGAGGTTTTTAGAGCTTTGCTAAATGATAAATCAAGAAAAATATTGTTTAAAGATGTCAAAGTTTTTTTGTTCTTTGTTTTGTTTTTTTTAAGAGAGAGAGTGTGAGTGGGGAGAGGGAGACGGGGGGCGGGGAGGGGGGAGAGAATCCCAAGCAGGCTCCATACTCAGTGCAGATGCCCCACACGGGGCCCTATCCCACGACCCTGGGGTCATGACCTGAGCTGAAATCGAGAGTCAGACGCTCAACTGACTGAGGCCCCCAAGCGCCCCAAAGATGTCAAAGTTTTAATTGGCAGTTTGGGGATAAGGAATGAGATTAAGCATCTTTGCACATTCACTGGCCATTTATACTTGTTTTGTGACTTGGCCAGTGTATGTCACTGTCCATTTTCTGTTTGTGGACATTCCTATTCTTCTAGATTGATATGACCTCATACCCAGACTCCTGGGGCATTTGTGTTTTTTTTGTTTTTTTTATTTTTTTTAATGTTTTATTTATTTCTGAGAGAGAGAGAGAGTGACAGTGTGAGCAGGGGAGGGTCAGAGAGAGAGGGAGACACAGAATGTGAAGCAGGCTCCAGGCTCTGAGCTAGCTGTCAGCACAGAGCCCGATGCGGGGCTCGAACCCACAAACTGTGAGATCATGACCTGAGCCGAAGTCGGACGCTTAACCGACTGAGCCACTCAGGCGCACTCCTGGGGCATTTGAATCGCTGCATTCCTGTTTGGCCTCTTCCAGGAAGAGTTTGTCCTGAATCATAACCTAAAGGTACGCATAGAAAATGGGTAGGAAAAACAAACAAATAAGGAAGGAAGGAGGGAGGAGGAAGGAAGGAAGGAAAGAGGGAAGGAAGGAAGGAAGGAAGGAAGGAAGGAAGGAAGGAAGG